GAAAGTTTTGTTCCCAAGGGAAACAGAAATAATAGGAAGACCAAGACGAGTCCTTGGTTTACCCGAAGGTGTAGGGAGGCAAAAGCTAAGTGCAACAGAGAATGGAAAAGGTACAGGAGGCATAGGACCCAGGAAAACAAGGAGATTAGTAGAAGAGCCAGAAACGAGTATGCGCAGATAAGGAGGGAGGCCCAGAGACAGTATGAAAACGACATAGCATCGAAAGTCAAATCTGACCCGAAACTGCTGTATAGCCACATTAGGAAGAAGACAACAGTCAAGGACCAGGTGATAAGGCTGAGGAAAGAAGGTGGGAACTCACAAGAAACGATCAAGAGGTATGTGAGGAGCTCAACACGAGATTTAAGGAAGTATTTACAGTAGAGACAGGAAGGACTCTGGGGGGACAGACCAGATGGGGACACCAACAAGGAATACACCAACAAGTGTTGGACGACATACATACAGATGAGGAGGAGGTGAAGAAACTGCTAAGGGACATCGATACCTCAAAGGCAATGGGACCGGACAACATCTCTCCATGGGTCCTTAGGAGGGAGCAGATATGTTGTGCGTACCACTTACCACAATCTTCAACACATCCCTGGAAACTGGGCAACTACCTGAGGTATGGAAGACAGCAAATGTAGTTCCCATTTTCAAAAAGGAGACAGAAAAGAGGCACTAAACTATAGACCTGTGTCATTGACGTGTATAGTATGCAAAATTATGGAGAAGATTATCAGGAGGAGAGTGGTGGAGCACCTGGAACGGAACAGGAGTATAAATGCCAACCAGCACGGATTCACGGAAGGCAAATCCTGTGTCACAAACCTTCTGGAGTTTTATGATAAAATAACAGAAGTAAGACAAGAGAGAGAGGGGTGGGTTGATTGCATCTTCTTGGACTGAAAGAAGGCCTTTGACACAGTTCCCACAAGAGATTAGTGCAGAAGCTAGAGCACCGGCATATACAGGAGAGGGCACTGCAAGGATCAGAGAATACTGACAGGGAGCAACAACGAGTCATGGGTACGTAATGATGTATCACAGTGGGAAACTGTGACGGCGGGGTCCCACAGGGGTCGGTCCTAGGACCAGTGCTAATTTTTGGAGAATGTGAACGACATGTACGGAAGGGTTAGACTCAGAAGTGTCCCTGTTTGCAAGATGATGGAAGTTAAGTGAGGAGATTGGGAGATCTGTGAGGAACAGGAGGATTCAAAGAGGACCTGGAACAGATGGACCTGGTCAGCAAATGGCTTTCTCGAATAATCGTGCCAAATGCAAAGGGGGTGATGGATAGGGAAAGGCAGAAGACACAGACAGAGTAGTAGGCTAGTGCCAAAGATGCAAACCCTCAGTCCAGTAGAAAGATCGGTGGTGAGAAAACCGACAGGGTCTCCGGAAAGGGGCACACATCATCAGTAACTGCGGGTATGGGTGGCAACCTGAGAACAGCATCTCGAGACCGTGTATTATTGGAATATTCAAGACACTGTACATGCTGTTTGTCAGGCCATACTGGAGTATGCAGCACTGTTTGGAACCCGGGCACTTGAAAGCACGTCAAGAAACTAGAAGAAAGTACAAAGGTTGCAACAAGGCTTAGTTTCAGAGCTAAGGGAATGTCCTATGAAAAAAGATTAAGGAAAGTCGGCCTGACGACACTGAGGACAGGAGGGTCAGGGGAGACATGATAACGACAATAAAAATACTGCGTGGAATAGACAAGGTGGAACAAGGACAGGATGTTCCAGGAGGGGACACAGAAACAAGAGGCCACAATTGGAAGTGAAGACACAAAAGTCAGAGAGATAGTAGAAGTATTTCTTCAGTCAAGAGTTGTAAGGCAGTGGAATAGCCTAAGAAAATGAGTAGGGGAGGCAAGAAACCCATACACAGTTTTAAGACGAGGTTTGATAAAGCTCATGGAGCGGGAGAAGAGGGTCTAGTAGCCACCGGTGAAGAGGGGGGCCCAGGAGCTAGGACTCGACCCCTGCAACCACAAAATAGTGAGTAAAATGGGTGAGTACACTCAGTTAACAGTCAACCAAGGCAGCATCCATCACACACACACACACACACACACAACACACACTCACACTACACACACACAACAACACAGCCACACACACACACAGATATCAGATCACAGATTGCAGCATCCATCACACACACACATACAGATAACAATCACCAGATGCAGCATCCATCACACACACACACAGATAACAATCACCAGATGCAGCATTCATCATACACACACAGATAACATCACCAGATGCAGCATCATCACACCACACACACAGATAACAAGTCACCAATCAGCATCCATGACACACACACACACAGATAACAATCACCAGATGCAGCATCCATCACACACACACACACATAGATAACAATCACCAAAATGCAGCATCTACACACACACACACACACACACACACACCCCACAACACACAACAGATAACAATCTCCAGATGCAGCATCCATTATACACACACAGATAACAATCACCAGATGCAGCATCCATCACACACACACACACACAGATAACAATCACCAGATGCACCATCCATCACACACACACCCCACAGATAACAATCACCAGATGCAGCATCCATCACACACACACACACAGATAACAATCACCAGATGCACCATCCATCACACACACACACACAGATAACAATCACCAGATGCAGCATCCATCACACACACACAGATAACAATCACCAGATGCAGCATCCACCCACAACCCCACACAATAACAATCACCAGATGCAGCATCCATCACACACACACCACGATAACAATCACCAGATGCAGCATCCATCACACACACACACACAGATAACAATCACCAGATGCATCATCCATCACACACACACACACACACACACACACACAGATAACAATCACCAGATGCATCATCCATCGCACACACACACACACACAGATAACAATCACCAGATGCACCATCCATCACACACACAGATAACAATCACCAGATGCACCATCCATCACACACACACACACACACACAGATAACAATCACCAGATGCACATCCATCACACACACCAGATAACAATCACCAGATGCACCATCCATCACACACACACACACACACACACACACACACACACACACACACAACACACACACACACACACACACACACACAGATAACAATCACCAGATGCAGCATCCATCACACACACAGATAACAATCACCAGATGCAGCATCCATCACACACACACACACACACACAGATAACAATCACCAGATGCAGCATCCATCACACACACACACACACAGATAACAATCACCAGATGCAGCATCCATCACACACACAGATAACAATCACCAGATGCATCATCCATCACACACACACACACACAAGATAACAATCACCAGATGCACCATCCATCACACACACAGATAACAATCACCAGATGCACATCCCATCACACACACACACCACAACACACACAGATAACAATCACCAGATGCACCATCCCATCACACACACAGATAACAATCACCAGATGCACCATCCATCACACACACAGATAACAATCACCAGATGCATCATCCATCACACACACACACACACACACAGATAACAATCACCAGATGCACCATCCATCACACACACAGATAACAATCACCAGATGCATCATCCATCACACACACAAAACACACACACACACACAGATAACAATCACCAGATGCACCATCCATCACACACACAGATAACAATCACCAGATGCATCATCCATCACAAAACACACACACACACAGAATAAACAATCACCAGATGCATCATCCATCACACACACACACACACACAGATAAACAATCACCAGATGCACCATCCATCACACACACACACACACACACACACACAAAACACACAACACACACACACAGATAACAATCACCAGATGCAGCATCCATCACACACACAGATAACAATCACCAGATGCAGCATCCATCACAAACTCTCACACACAAACTCCACCTCTCTAATAACAACAATTGTAAACAATTATCCGGACTCAGCTCCACACAAAACCTGTACTATATACACAGCGTATACAATATTGAATATAGTATTACAGTTGTGTATAATATACAAACTATATAACTGTATTTATTTCTATACACTTGTATATATTTGTACAGCCTCTCCACCAGGATTATTTATATTAAACATTATAAATCCTGCCGTGTGGGCGAAACGTCGTCCTTTTGAATGGATTTTATCGTCTATTTTATTTATGTTAATGAGTGATGTAAGTTTTCGATTTTTTTTATGTTATTATTTAGAGAAATATTGTATTTGTTGTATTGTGGAAGGTTAATGTATTTAGTAATGTATTAGTATAATATTTATATCTCTTGATGTTTCCTTCAAAGTTCGTGTCTGGTGTAATAAAAATAATAATAATAATAATAATAATAATAATAATAATAATAATATAATAATAATAATAATAATAATAATAATAATAACAATAATAATAATAATAATAATAAATAATAATAATAATAATAATAATAATAATAATAATAATAATAATAATAATAATAATAATAATAATAATAATAATAATAATAACAATAATAATAATAATAATAATAATAATAATAATAATAATAATAATAATAATAATAATAATAATAATAATAATAATAATAATAATAATAACAAATAATAATAATAATAATAATAATAATAAAATAAATAATAATAAAAATAATAATAATAATAATAATAATAATAATAATAATAATAACAATAATAATAATAATAATAATAATAATATAATAATAATAATAATAATAATATAATAATAATAAAAATAATATAATAATAAAATAATAATAATAATAAATAATAAATAATAATAATAATAATAATAATAATAATAATAATAATAATAATAATAATAATAATAATTATAATAATAATTATGGTATTTACAGGAGTGGGTGGGCGAGTTACTGAGGTGGACAAGAATGATTATAACGACTGGAAACCATCCGGCTTTCCTTGTGAGAGAATCTGGCTTCCAGATATTGTCCTTATAACAAGTAAGTATTGTGTGTGTTGTGGTGTGGTGTGTGTGTGTTGTGTGTGTGTGTATGTGTTGTGTGTGTGTGTGTGTGTGTTGTGTGTGTGTGTGTGTGTGTGCACTCACCTATTTGTGGTAGCAGGGGTCGAATCTTAGCTCTTCGCCCCGCCTCTTCACTGGTTGCTACTAGGTCCTCTCTCTCTCCCTGCTCCATGAGCTTTATCATACCTCGTCTTAAAACTATGTATAGTTCCTGCCTCCACTGCTCCAATAGCCAGACTATTCCACTTCCTGATAACTCTGTGACTGAAGAAATACTTCCTAACATCTCTTTGACTCATCTGAGTCTTCAGTTTCCAATTGTGACCCCTTGTTTCTGTGTCCCATCTCTGGAACATCCTGTGTCTCTCTACCTTGTCAATTCCTCGTAGTATTTTATATGTCGTTATCATGTCTCCCTTAACCCTCCTGTCCTCCAGTGTCGCCAGGCCGATTTCCCTTAACCTTTCTTCGTAGGGCATTATCCTTAGCTCTGGAACTAGTTTTGTTGCAAGCCTTTGCACATACTCCAGTAAGGGCCTGACGTACACGGTGTACAGTGTCTTTATCGATTCCTTACGAACGCTATTTCCAGGTTTGTCAGGCGCCCATATACTGCAGCTGTTATCTACTTGATGTGCGCCTCAGGAGATGTGCTCGGTATGATACTCACCCCAAGATCATTTTCCTTGAGTGAGGTTTGCCATCTTTGCCACGTAGACTATACTCCGTATGCGGTCGTCTTTGCCTTCACCAATCTTTATGATTTTGCATTTGGCGGGGTTAAATTCGAGTAGCCAGTTGCTAGACTAATCTTCCAGTCTGTCCAGATCTCTTAGTATTCCTGTCTGATCCTCATCCGATTTAATTCTCCTCATTAACTTCACATCATCTGAAGACAAGGACACTTCTGAGTCTGTCCCTTCCGTCATGTCATTCATATATACCAGAAACAGCACCAGTTCTAGGACTGACTCCTGTGGAACCCCGCTCGTCACAGTCGCCCAATCTGACACCTCGTCACGTACCATGACTCGATGTTGCCTACCTGTCAGGTATTCTCTGATCCATTGCAGTGCCCTTTCTGTTATGCGTGCCTGATCCTCTAGCTTTTGCGCTAATCTCATGTGAGGAACTATTTCGAAGGCCTTCTTACAGTACAAGAAAGTGCAATCTACCCACCTGTCTCTCTCTCTCTCTCGTGTCTTACTTCTGTTACCTTGTCAAAAAACTCCACTAGGTTTGTATCACATTTTCCTTCCCTGGCTCAGTGCTGGTCGTCGTTTATAATCTTGATAAATTAGACACATGTGCAACTCTTGGGTATCTTTATTGAGGAAACGTTTCGCCACACAGTGGCTTCATCAGTCCATACAAAGGAGAATCTTGAAGAACAGGAGGAGAATGAGGTAATCAGTCCCTCAACCTTGGATTACCTCATTCTCCTCCTGTTCTTCAAGATTCTCCTTTGTATGGACTGATGAAGCCACTGTGTGGCGAAACGTTTCCTCAATAAAGATACCCAAGAGTTGCACATGTGTCTAATTTATCAACATGTCGGTTCTCTGAACCATTCATCGTTTATAATCTTATTCTGTTCCAGGTGTTCCACCACTCTCCTCCTGATAATCTTCTCCATGACTTTGCATACTATACATGTCAGTAACACTGGTCTGTAGTTTAGTGCCTTGTGTCTGTCTCGTTTCTTATAAATGGGGACTACATTTGCCGTCTTCTATACATCAGGTAGTTGTCCAGTTTCAATCGATGTGTTGAAAATTGTTGTTAGTGGCACACACAGTGTCTCTGCTCCCTTTCTAATTACCCACGGAGATATGTAGTCCGGTCTCACCGCCTTTGAGGTATCAGGTTCATTTAGCAGCTTCTTCACCTCCTCCTCGGTTGTGTGTATTTCATCCAACACTTGTTGGTATATCCCTTGTTGGTGCACCCCCCAATTCTGACTTCCCAGAGTCCTTTCTATCTCCACTGTAAATACTTCCTTAAATCTCATGTTGAGCTCCTCACATACTTCTTGCTCGTTTCTTGTCACCTCCCCACCTTCCTTCCTCAGCCTGATTACCTGGTCCCTGACTCTTGTCTTCCTCCTGATGCGGCTATACAACAGCTTAGGTCAGACTTGACTTACGATGTTATGTTGTTTTGGTACTGTCGCTGAGCCTCTCTCTTTACCTGTGCATGCTCGTTTCTGGGTCTCTGACTAATCTCTTTATTTCCCTGGGTCCTTTGTCTTCTGTAATTTTTACCATTCTCTGGCACACTTAGTTTTTGCCTCCCTACACCTTCGGATAAACCAAGGACTCGTTCTGATCTTCCCATTATTTCTATAGCCCTTGGGAACAAACCTTTCT